TCATTTCTGTTAGAGGATCTCTGATCAAGCAGCTCTTATCTGTATCCTTTGGGAATTGGACAGAAGAACTGCTTGTCAGTTTATAGCATGTCATTTAATGGCCAGCCTTTTACATGTATTTTTAATATTAATTTTATATAGATTAAGTTGTTCAGACTAAATTAATATTGTTTAATATGATATTTTTAGCTCTACTGGTCAGAGACCAGAAGAGCTTATGCGATAGCAAGGTGTCCGTCGTCCGTCCGTCTGTGTCTGTCTGTCCGTCCGTCTGTAAACAATTTTTCAAAATGCTACTCCTCCTCAAGTTTTGGTCTGATTTCAGTATAACTTGGCACACAAGTAGACTACACTAAGATCTGTGTATCGGTTTTTTATTTCGATGAACGGTGTTGCCATGGTTACTAAAAATAGAAATTTCTGTGAAAAACATTCAAAATGCTACTCCTACAGTTTTTATCTGATTTCAATATAACTTGGCACACAAGTAGACTATACTAAGATGCAGAATTCTGTATATCGGTTTTTGATTTCGATGAACGGTGTTGCCATGGTTACTAAAAATAGAAATTTCTGTGAAATACTTTCAAAATGCTACTCCTTCTACACTTTTTATCTGATTTCAATATAACTTGGCACACAAGTAGACTACACTAAAATACATAATTCTGTGTATCGGTTTTTGATTTTGATGAACGTTGTTGCCATGGTTACTAAAAATAGAAATTTCTGTGAAAAACATTCAAAATGCTACTCCTCCTACAGTTTTGATCTGATTTCAATATAACTTGGCACACAAGTAGACTATACTAAGATGCAAAATTCTGTGTATCGGTTTTTGATTTCGATGAACGATGTTGCCATGGTTACTAAAAATAGAAATTTCTGTGAAATACTTTCAAAATGCTACTCCTCCTACAGTTTTTATCTGATTTCAATATAACTTGGCACACAAGTAGACTATAATAAGATACATAATTCTGTATATCGGTTTTTGATTTCAATGAACGGTGTTGCCATGGTTACTAAGAATAGAAATTTCTGTGAAATACTTTCAAAATGCTACTCCTCTTACAGTTTTGGTCTGATTTCAGTATAACTTGGCAAACAAGTAGACTACACTAAGATACATAATTCTTTATATTGATTTTCTGATTTCGATGAACATTGTTGCCATGGTTACTAAAAATAGAAATTTCCTTGAAATACCTTCAAAATGCTACCCCTACAGTTTTGGTCTGATTTTAGTATTACTTAGCACACAAGTAGACTACACTAAGATACATAATTCTCTGTACCAGTTTCGGATTTCGATGAACAGTGTTGCCATGGTTACTAAAAATAGAAATTTTCTTGAAATACTTTCAAAACGCTACTCCTCCTACACTTTTTGTCTGATTTCAGTATAATATGGCATACAAGTAGACTACAGAGATACATAATTGGTGTTATTGTTTTTTGATTTTGTTGAATGATGTCGCCATGGTTACTTAAGTCAAAATTTCTGTAAAATTGTTTTAAAAGGCTACTCCTCCTACAGTTTTAGTCAGATATAATAATAAATCTTGCCACAAAAGAGACTAAACCAAGGATCATTATTCTGTTTATTGCTGTTGCAAAGTTTCAAGTCCAAGTGCTACTTTTATCTTCCTTTATATAAAATACAACCAGTAGAGCTACAGTCTCATCAGAGACTTCTGGTTTTTTAATTTTTTGAAAATATCAACTAATTCAGAGCATCATGTCTCACAAATCTGAAAGCTGGGGGGGGGGGGGGGGGTTGCAGATGGGCATTTATCAAGCTCTAACACAACCAGTTGAGGATCTATAATGTAATATTTGTAAAAGTTAATGCCTACACCACAGGAGATGTATAAACAAATATTATAAGGAATGGAAAAATCATTGAAATCCTTGTATCAAGTTTGACATGATTTTCTTGCACTCTAAACTGTTTATGTCAATTGAACAATATTTGACGGGCGTATCAAGCTGTGGCGGGGCACTTTATTGCTACACCCCAATGGGTATATTTTCCTGTGTAAGCCAATATCTTTAGGTTTGTAAATGCAAAGGGAAGCTACTCAAATTTAACCCTAACAATTCTTTCTAGGTCATGGAGATTTTGGATTTCTTACGAATGTGCATCTCTTCTTCTGAATTTCAAACCGAACATATAAATACGTATCAGAACCTGTCCATGCACAACATGACATGCTGTAAAATCCAGAGGAGTCTGTTGCCGACTGTTTAACATTGAAAGAATTCTGTCCTCCTCAGTGTCGTTTTTTTTATGCATTCTTTAATTCCTAAGAATTAACAGATTAACGACATTTCCCCACTTTGGTAGCATAAAGTCATGGAGTATGGTACTGACAAGTCCTAATTTCAGAGTAATTAAAACTCTAAAACATCCACATAAAATGAAAGAAGTACCTTTATATATTTCATAAAATATTATAAGAAAAGGTTCTAGTGAGTAAATCTAAAATTATGACGCACTAAAATAAGGGGGGGTAACTCTGTATGATAAAGTTTTATTTTTATAACCAATTTTTAAAAAATTGAGAACAACAATAAAAACAACATAAAAAATTTTTTTTTGAAAAAGATGTCATCCACAATATTGAAATTTTAATTTCAAAACAAAATAGTGCAAGAAAAAAGCCAAAAAGACAAATTAATTTTGATTCATTTATATCATGACAATTTATTGGGAAAATGGGTTCATGAATATGTACAACGTATTTTTTAATAATGAAAGAATAATTAAAAGTTTGATATCTTATGCTATATTTATAGTGATTTGCTTGCTTTACAAATTGCTAATAAAAAATTATAATGTTAGTGTGTAGTTTTGGAGTAATGTTCTCCCGAATTTCCTGACCGAATTTCCTCTGCTTAAAAAGCTGTTATAAAATGTTAAAATAATGAGATTGCAATTTATTTACTTGCTTATAGTTTCTAACTCTCCTGATTTTGTCGTTTTAAACTCAAATTTTTATTATAGTTATTATTTTTCTCTTGTGACACGGCGGGCAATGCTTTTCACCAGATTTTTGCCGAACAATCCGAAAATCTTCAGATTTCCCGGTTTGGTTTTGTACATTATCGTGTACACATCACTTCCAGTTTGCAACTCGTACACAAAATGCCGAATCGGAATCAAAGTTGAAAGTAGACTTGGAGGAGGTGTTTACAATTATCTATGAATTGTTTTGAACAAAAAAAAAAAGAATTTGAAACTCCGGCTTATAATTTCTAACATTTTAGTGGAACGGATGAAATAAAGTGAATTGACAAAGACAGAATGCTCGAGGCTTATCTGCTTATTGTACATTCGTTCTAGTATCATAAGTATGTCATTATCTGATATGTCTCCATGTTTAATTTTAATTGATAATAAATCTTTGTCTTGAATGAATATTTTCCATTTTCAGCAATAATGAAAGATTAGATATGATTCAGTAACTATTAACTAACCAGCTATTAAACCCAGGTCCGTAGAATGCGGGGGGGGGGGGGGGGGGGGGTTCTGAGTAAAGTATATCGTTGTAGTAAATTTTCCCTTAGATGCTAGTTGCTCCAATGTCGAGCACTAGCAAATTCCAGGTTTTGGATAGTGAAATTAGGTGTTTTTTTTATATTTGCTTGTCAGATTTTCGAGAAAATGTCACCCCTTTTTTGGTCTTTTTTTTCCTTTATCAGATTTTTTGGGGAAGTTGCCCTCCCCCCTTTTTTGAAATTATTGCTATAAGTCTGACTAAACCATCATACATGCTGTTGAAGCTAGGGAAAATAGTGACACCACCACAATATACTACACTGTACTTTGCTATCCATGTGTACAATATGGTGTAGAGTAACAGCAATATTTAACAAAATCAGATAAAATTTTAAGAGCTAAAACCACAAAGTACAAAAATAGTCCTTCACTAAAATAGATGAACTTATGTTTTATAATTTGAAGGTTTTTAAACTATTTATCTTAATTATCTTTTTCTAGTTTTCTTTTTATGGTTAAAATAACCTTTGTTTCTCTAATAATAAGTATCATAAGTTTACAAGTCAAGCAGCAGGCTTGTAGCAACGGTTTCAAAAGTTGGGGGGGGGGGGCACCTTCCCCCAAAAAAATCTGTCAAGCAAAGAAAAAAAAAAAACTAAACTCACCAAAAATAGGGGGAGGGGCAACTCATTAGCAGTCCTTGTGTGCCATTTTCATCATTTTTCCAATGGAAAACCTTGTTAAAAATAAGGAAGATGAATTTCCCAGGTTCTACTCTTTTTTTTTTTAACATGCAGTGTATTTAGCATCTGTTCATACAATGATAAGGTAATGAAATATTTTTTTATAATGAAAATTCATGAGAATCAAAATGCATTAACATATTGAAAACTTATTTGCTCTATCTACAATTAAAAAAAAAAGAAAAATAATTTGTAATTTTACCAAATTTAAATTAATGAAAACTTATTACATTTAGTACCAAACACTGACATTGCATGTATCTAAAAATGATCCTACAGACATGGCAATTTCTGATAACACCAATAATGTATCCACAACTGATGTCATGGACATTTCAAACAGACTGAAGATATTTGACTCTTTTAAAATAAAACTCTGGGGTCTTTCAACTGAAAAAGTCTGCATTCTGAGATAGAATCCACTTTACTTTCTATAACGAGTCACACACAGTTTTCAATTCACATCTTCCATCAATAACTCCATATCGAATTTGTTGACAATGCCAGTTTTAAACTGCATTCGGTAATACTGGGACATCATAGGAAATGATAGTGTATCCAGTGACTACACTTTTCTTGTCGTTACTCAAAACTTTAGTCTAATTCTGATTGTTACAAGAGAAACTTCTATGTTCACTTGTTATTGTACACCTTCATTCCATTTATTTTTAGACCTGTAATTTTGTCTGCTTGTTTATTGATTGTTTCTTTGTGGAAAAAGTTGAAAACTTTTCTCGTCTCATTGCTTATATGATCATGATGTTCCCGCTCTCTGTAAGAAACAATAATCTTGTTTTAGTTATTAGTTCAAGTGATCAAATAATTTTCATTTTAATAACAATCAAATGACATTGTCCACCTGATCTAGTCAATACAGGCCTACAGAATGGTTGTGTGTGTTTGGGGGGGGGGGGGGGGGTTTGTCCTCCTAACTTTTTTCTGAGAATAGTATTTGGCTATAGAGTAAATTTTCATTAAGATGTCAGTTGCACCCCCCCCCCCTTTTTTTTACTAGAGGTCTGCATCACTAAACTTGTTACATGTATATGGGCAGTTAGTGATTTCACATACCTAAACCTGTTGGCTTTATTTCAAACATGAAATGTTTAATAAGTTAATAACTATGAAACATACAAGTTGTATGTCCCTATGATACTATAAATAAACAATAATTAAGTACATGTATGTTTGTATTTATGTATAATTCATAATATTTAATGTCAAACCTAATATACCAGTTAGTATTCATCAAACAGTTACAATTCTTGCATATGGTTAGTGATGGGAAATTGGGATTTCTTTCATAATTGATTATTGGAATAATGGGATGAACTATAATCGAAAAAAATTGATTAATTTCAAATATTATATTTCTTCAATTTCAAATGTAGAATAAATTGTTTAGAAATTCTGGAGTGATTTCCGAAATACATTTTTGAAATAGTTTGTATCATTGGGTTCATTTATTAGATTATTATTTAGGATTTAGTTAAATTCAAAGAAGAATGAATCAAAAATCAAAGGAATAATTTGCTTTTAACTAATATTTTGAGTAATCGATTATCTATAATCGGGGACCATTTCGATTAGATAATTGATTTAATCGATTAATCACTACATATGGTACTTTAAACTTTATCTAAAACTTGTCATGGGTATCAACTATGATATACATGTATTTGTCTAAAAGTGACACATAGGTCTAATTGACTGATTACATGTATTTTTATGTTTTTCTTCATACTGTAACATATATCACTACATGTATAAAATACAATTTACTTGCTTACTAATTGTGAAATCTAGCCAATTATCAAAGAAAATAATCTAAGTAAACCCAAGAAAAATGATTGGTTAAACCTGCTTTGTTTCCACTTTTATCATGTTCATGCTGGAAAAACTTAGAGTACCGGTAGGTACTGGTAGGCATATTTTTAATTTTTTTTTTTGCGTGGACTTTTTTAAAATAAAACAACCAAGTAACACTGATGTCCAGTCTATGTGAAAGTTTTTTGGACCACACAGGACATTCGGTCCTGTGTAATCAATGAACACACAGGACCGAATCAAATTTTGTCGGATCAAAAATGTAAAAAAAGTGGAACACGTGAAAATGCAGAGTAGTAAGCCTAACACCTTTTCTTTTACAAGGGATTGCTCTCGCATAGTACTGTAGATGGTCCATATGGTTTTAAGGCCAAATAAAAAAATATGTGTGGTTCCGGTTACCCGACCATCCCTATTTTATACCCCCGACCCTAAACTTTTTTCCGGCAATTTTCATTTTTTTCCGGAATTTTCCAGCTTTCCGTCATCGGCTCCAGTATTAGTTTTAGTTTCAGCAATGGCGGCCTCCATGCAAAACATTGTTTCAACACTTAGTGCAAGTGTTCAATTGATAGTGTTAAATCTAAAGCAAGTTAACATAGCGCAGAAGCATTCCTTTTTTCCAGCACCATGTTTTTTTGCTTTGTTTTGTTTTTGCTTGCTAAAATTAAATAAATATACGTTCACAGACAGCTGGCCAGGTAATATGCCTTTGGGAGTTAGGACATGAGAAAACATCATTTGATTGCATTGATTACGCAAGAAATGGCCCAATGTGTAAGATAGATTAACTTGTAAATTATAAAATAATTTAAATCAGGATCGTTTCTTTTAAACCAAAAGTAGAGCAAAAAACAGTTGATGAGGAAAAGTGAAAAACAAGACAGCCGATTTTACCTGAATAAAGTCAACTCACATAGTACCAATATATATTTGAGAAATGAGCTTGGAAGTATAAAGTCTTCAATGAGGCAAAAATTTTTCATTGTAAGAATTTAACATTCTCACAATATTAAATACATTGTATATTTCCTCTGACAGCTCTTAGTAGTACTCTATGCCCGTTTTCTAGTTTATCATTCAAAATTTATTAATAAATAAAATAAAAATTACTCTGGATAAAAGTCATTAATTTCATTTATAAACATGGATTTAAAAAAAGGATGTTCACCTCAAACTTTTTTTTTTACAAAAAAGAAATTTATAAGATTATTAGTGTGTTTATTATTTTTGATTTAAAAATATTTGTTTCATATTCATAACTAGGGTGTCCCTACACTGTACCAATGTTGACTTGTATATTATCATGCCACATCTAAATGCCACTTGCAAAGTGGTGATAGGTATTATTTAGATAAATTTAGAAAAATCATTTTGTAAAAAAAAAAAAAAAAAAATTCCTACCTACCTATCCTAATTTTTTTGAAGGTGTAACCGGAACCACACATATTTTTTTGTTTGGCCTAATCACCTTCATTTACGTATTTGGATTTGTGCAAAATTTTTTACTTATAACAAACATTTACATGACTCCCCATCAAAATAATAATGCTCAAAATTTGGACAGAGACACATCTGACATTCTGATCCGGTGTAAAAAATGACGCATCGGACCAGAGGCACTGCACATCGGTCAGGTCTGATGGTCCGATGTCTTTTGCATAGACTGGATGTCAAAGAAATAGTGTTTTATTTATGGTGGAAATTTTTTATACATGCTATTATTGTGGAATTTTAAAATGAATATTCATATTTTTCTTGAAAAAGCATTTTAAAAAATTAGGGTCAGCTACAAAATAGGGTGGGTTCACTGGGTTGTGAAAGTGGAAACAATTTTGCCTAACAACACCACAGCCTAACATTTTGACAAATGTAAATGTACCTTAATGATAGCTGATGATCCATAAGTTAGGATATCCACAGCATGAAAGAGCTGCTGAAATGGCATGGACATTTTAGAGCATCTGTCATATCACCCCCAGTTCCATAACCCTCCTTCCAAGTTTCCAGTTAGCAGATATTAAGGGTTCCAGATCCTGTTCCATCTCAACTTCATGTTCAATGTCCACAATATTAGGGATACCTATTCAAATAATATACATGTACTACTAAATCTATATAGCTGAGATTTCTTCCCTATCACTGCATATATGTAAATATATTTACATTTGCAAATGTTTTCTTTTATATAACACTATTAAGAGCAATGCGTATCTATATCCGTATAAACATGGGTTCCCCGCGTCATAATGGTTCAATGTAATTTCTCAGTGACGTCATAAAGGGTCCACGCGCAATCAGTGGATCAGTTGGGTTTGAAAAATAAAACGTTTCACGCGTTAAAGATTATAATCAGGTAAATATAAAATATGAACAAGTCACAAATTCAAATACAGTGGCGCCGCGTTTATCCGGACGCCATTTATCCGGACGCTTCACCATCCGGACGATATTTTTTGGGAACCGATTTTTTCCATGTTATTTTGTCTCATTAATCCGGAAATTCGCGTTCCGTATCCGGACGGTCAATTTCTACTACAAAACGTAATAGTTCCTTGAAAAATGACTCGTTTATCCGGACGGTAATTTTTTCAAGAAAAGACTTTTTCACACTTCGCTTGCATTCGTGTTAATTGTTGTAAAAACATTGGCCATGCAGTCAGTTTGAAGACGGTTACATGTGACCTACAAACAATAGCGTCTATAATTAGCGTGTGTTTACCCTAATTCAATCACATGTTTATCTTTAATATTTAGCTTACACTGTGCATTAATTTAATAATAATCTGTTCAAAATCATATTGCTAACCGTATGTACATCGGTAAATTCATGAGAATTTTGGAGAGTTGTAAATAAAATGAACAATAAATAACGAGCGATTTCGTAATGCTCTTTATCATGTTGATTGCGTTAGTTTAAAATACTGTTTTCCATTTCTAAAAACGTAAATGTATTTGAAACGCTTTTTTCCCCACAAAACAGTTTAGAAAGATACATAACTGAAGAAATATCTCTATTTAATGTACTACCGTTTACAAACGTCCATTGTTTTAGAAAAGATATATAAAACTGGCGTTACGTACAGAAGTTGATTACGTTTATCAAGGTATTTTTAATGATCGAAATTCAAACTTAGAGTCTGTAGAAAAAAATATTGATAATCATGAAGATGACTTGTGTTTACGAATGTTTTTAATACTTTGTTTGAGTAAGCTTGCAGTTAATTTTATAGTAACCCTGTGTAATGAACATACGGGGTTAGTTTATATTTGAACATTTTTAATGATGATGCTGAACAGTTCTGTCATATCATATGAGCTTCAATAATTATAATATATGGCTAAATAAAACAACTATAGATCAAAATTTGCTCAGCCCATGAAGTCACAGGCCAAAGAGAAGGCGAATTAAAATAGGAGGTCTGCATAAAATTGCCCATCCATTTTTTTTATTGTGTAAATTACATCTTAATATATTTTTTTCTTTAATCAATTACTGCTTTTAAAACAATAAACCAAAATATAATTTAAAAGTTTTTTTCTTTGCTGTCACATCTGAAACAAGAATGTGCATATATACAATGTACATGCTTAGAGAGTGCTTTTTGAGATGTGATTCAATTATCCGGACGATTCATTTATCCGGACGATTTTGTGGGGACAGAGGCGTCCGGATAAACGAGGCGCCACTGTATAAGTAATAAGGTATCATTTTAAAACATCTATCGGGCTATAAATACGGGTTGGTACGAGATCAAATTTACCATAAAGCCCTTTGGGAAATTAATAAGGAAAGAAATAATCTTAATAAAAAGAAAATCCTGTTTTAGGCCAAAGAATTTAGTGGTAAGTATTATTTTGTGTTGTAGTGTAGTGAATTTTTTATCTAGTATGTTTTGGAAGAAAATATTGTCTAGACAGTGTCCAACACCTTGCATCTGGTTACCTTCAAATTTCATTGAGTTATAACTGCCTCATATGACTTGACATTTGTAATAAATTATTGTTTCTTTTAATATATTTTCTATGTTTGCTGAATTTAAAAGCATCAATACATACATGTAGACATGATAGTCTAGAGTACATGAAACTCGAAACGTTTTACCAAAATCAAGCGCACCTGAATAACATCAATAAATTTTTGAATTTTTATTGATTCAACAACATTCCGGAATGCAATCATGTCACACAATATAAATTAAATTACAAAACAGAATTGTATATAAATCATGTAAATTACCCCCTCATGTGTGCACTGGTAACCAGTGGTATTATTTTTATTATAATATAGTGTAGTGCTCTTTATCCCTTTTTTGAATCTATATTGCAAACAACAACTAAGGAAGAATATAACAAATTTTAATCTCAAAATCTCTGCTTTTTTTTGAAAAAAAAAAACTTTAACATGAATCGTCACTAATTTATAATGTTGTGTGTTCACTCATGCCCCCAATTCAGAAAAAAGTACCCAATTCACTCATATATATATATATATCTATCTTATCTAATACCGGTATTTTGCTGAGCCACAATCACTTTTACTGAATTTCTGAGGTAATGTTAGTTAAATGGTGTCAAATACTAGAGACAAACCTGGGCAGATCGTTTTTGCTAGGCTAGAGTTGCAGTTGTCATGCGTTTGTGATTCGAATGATGGGTTTAATCTTTGGACAGTAATTTTCAGTCAGACGCAGCTCACCATCGCCTTTTTTGAGTGAACGAAGCCTTGCTGTACAGCTGAATAGATTTGGTTGACGAAAATCCTCGTTTTCTCCGCATTTCATTCTTTTCGAAACATCCGATCATCCGCTTTGTTTACATTACCGAAAAGTAAAATAAGTCGTAAAATTACCTCGACTTGTTGTTAGTTTGAATCCAATGAAATTTTAGTCACCTTTTATATGATTTTATATCAAGTATATCTTTAAAATAAGTTGCATTGTAAATTTTATTTCCAACTCTACTAAAGAGATGAACGACATAAGATTCATTTACGTCATTTGGAGTTGCGCGGTGGATTCAAAATCGTCACTACCATACGTCCTTAATTGTGAGTGGGGCAGTGTTGGTCATTGTCTAAGAAATCCCATGATACTCGGAAAACTGTCAAGGCCCATTGACATCTTGAAATATTGAATACTGTCCTATAAGCAGACCCCTAAAGGGTGTAGGGATATTTGAAAAATAAAGGATAATATTGCACATTGATTTGGCCTTGCAGAGAGAGAGAGAGGGAGAGAGAGAGAGCAGAATTAAAGAAAGTTGATGTGGTCAATGGGCCCCTTGTTAAATTTGAATACTTTTTAAAGGTCCAAGTGTTGGTCAACACAACTGGAAAGGAACTGAAACTTAACCATGGATATGTGTCAAATTCAATTCTAACAGCAGCAGGGAATGAGATGCAAATGGAGGCAAAACGTAAATGTCCAAAAGGACTTCAGTCTGGGGAAGTCCTGGTGACCGATGCTTACAAATTACATGAAAGAGGAATAGAAAAAGTATTTCATGGAAGTCTTCCTTTCTGGAATCCAGATGCAAGTATTGCTGTGAGTAACATTTAATTAAAAAGTCATTTGCATTTTAACAAATAATGTCAATTTTTTTATTGGAAAAATTGATTTATAATAGCAATAAGACACACTTTCTGTATATTTTATCAGAGAGTCAGCTTTAATGCTTAAATTTCTAAATTAGCTATTAAATTTCTAAATTGCAAACTAACTTTATTTGAACACAAACAGATACAGTGATTCCTTTAAAAGGGTTGATATACTGGTGACAAAATGCTGTCTAACTGAGACACAACAATTTGTTCCATATTAGTTTAACCACCATTGTCAGTGGAAAGGCTTGTTGCTCCTTCAACAAACAATTTACTGTAGTCGATTTAACTGTCTTATTTCTACTTTGAAATTCTAAAACCTACAAGAGTAAGCTTAAATATTTTATCTCACAACATCAGGGGTCCTGAGTCTACAAGTGGTTGTGGGACCACAGATAAACTTCATTTGATATTTTAAGTTGGGTTGACTACGGTGACGTCCTTCATGGAAATTGCAAATCTTGATTGTTTTCTTATTTATCGACCAATCACATTAAGCCTTTCTTTGACAAACAACCTGGGCCATGGTGGTTCTCAACTTGAGAAGCAAGCCCATAAAAAGCTGAATGAAGTTTTTCAGCTAGGGTCCCACAACCACATGTGGACTCAGGGCTCCTACAGTCAAGCATTATGAGGATGAGAATTCTAAAGCTTTTGCATTGTAAACAATTATTATTTTTTGTATGGATTGTATTTAGTTTTATTTTTCATAGGCTCTGAAGTCACTTGTAGCAAAATGCCTGCATCTTGCAACTGAATTTGGCATGACATCAATTGCATTTCCTGCTCTTGGCACAGGAAATTTGGGATATGACCACTTTGCAGTTGCCAATGCCATGTTTGAAACTGTACGAAGTTTTGTTGAAACTTCAACTTTAACATCATTGACAGAGGTTGTCTTTGTTGTGTTTGATGAGAACAGTGCAAAAGTAAGTGTAACAATAGCAGAAATTAACAAATAAAACAATAAGAAACTAGCTGTTTATGTAAGTAAGTCCTAAGAATGGTGAAGAAAACATTCCTTTACAACTAGTAAACTAATTGTTCAGAGAACAATTAGAGGCCTTTCCACCTTTTTAAGTGTTTCCGTGTCATCTGAGCTGAAAAAAAAGAAGAAAAATGCAAAAAATGAAAAAAAAAAAAAAAAAAAAATTAATGCTCCTCCAGCTGGGCTCGAACTCAAAACCCTTGGATTGAAAGGCAGGTGCGCTAACCATTCGGCCACGCATTCCGATAACATACATAAGTTAATTTTTTAAGACTATAGAAGAAATGCAAGCATATTTTTAGAATCGGTAGGGGAAGAAAGAAGTTCCGTAAAAGGAAATAGTTCCCGAACTTGCAAGCAGTATATAAAATAACAAGGGACGGGCTGCGTGAGAAAAAGTTAACACTGTTCCCTAATGAAAATGTATTAATGGACTGTAGCCCGATTCATCGATATTGTGAGCATGCTGAATTTTTTGTAAATAGCTTCGTTGTAAGCTTAAAAGATCGGGTCCGGATTTTAACATTTCTGACTGAATATCCTGAAATAACTACGAAACATTTAAATAAGCATTTCTTTGGGTTAAATTAAATATGTGTATCACAAATTAAACTCCCAACATGCATTTTTAGAAGGGAAAGACGACAATGAAAGCGAGAATTGTTTTTAATCTACCGAAAATCGCTATTTCTGGAAACTGATTAATTCTAAATAAAAATCAAATAAATTGCAAATGTAAAAGAAAGAGAGAATGCTTGGTATTAAAATGTCGTATCATATCAGGAGAATCGAATGCTGCTAATGACATCTGAAGAAATAGCTGATAAAAGGTTTAGATCACTTCTTCGTTCACCTGCACTTTAATTACAAACACAACAGAACTTGTAGTTTTTGCTGTGAAACTTCAAGACTTCTATAAACTTATAGGACTCACCGTAAAACTCTCCAGAAACTTTCTCTGAGGTCTATACTACATTTTAAACCGAATTTGGTGTCGATCCGAGGTCTGGTTTGAATTCTAGAGTAATAGTCTACGTTGTTGTTGATGTGATTTTTTTTTTTTTAAGAAGGGGGGGGGGTAAATTATTTATTTTATGCCTCTTTTAAACTAAGAATTGTAACTACTTCCACATCCTTAAGCCTTATTGTGACCTTTGGGTCAAGGTCAAAGGTCAAGGTCAAAGGTCAAGGTCATTAAAAAAAAAAAAAAAAAAAAAAAAAAACACACACACACACAAGAAATCTTTACTTTCTAAGTTTTCACGTGATACTGGAGCTGAATGCATGTCCTTACTTTTCCATTTGACCCAAAGTCAAGGTCAAAGGTCAAGGTCAAAGTTCAAGGTCATTTGGTGAATTGCTATATTTTACACATATATAAGGAATTTCTTATGTTTTTAAATGACCTTGACCTTTGACCTTGACCTATATTTCAAGGTCAAAGGTCAAATAGGCCAATGCAGTTGGTCCCATGTCTCTAGGATACACCGTTTTAAAAAAAGTTCATTAAATGTAAGTAGTATAAACTTTCAGGGGCAGTAACTCATACAAGGGACCAAAGAATGCTTTCGCAAGGATAGAATGAAGAGAGTACTAAATGAGTCGAAGACACTGATGAAGGTTTGGAATCTCTACGGTTTACAGTTTCGGAGGAGTAGCGATAACAAAGTTTTGTTGCAAAAGGGGTGACAACTTTTGAATGGGTCAAGCTCGGGGGACAAGAATGAAATCTTTGAAATAGTTTAAGAAGGACATATAGATGCAAAGATATTCAGTATATGTTGAAAGACAAAAGAGATATTAAAAAAGCTAATTTTCTCATATTTTGAATGACCTTGACCTTTGACCTCTATATAAATTTCAAGGTCAAAGGTTGAGCTATCCAATGCCATTGGTCCCATGTCTCTACGATTAATCGTTTAAAAAAAAAAAATTATTCGTAACCATCAAAAACTTTCAGGGGCAATAACTAATTAAAGGGGTTCATGCAACCTTTCGCACTGAAAAGATTGAAGAGTCTACTAAATTAGTCGAAGACATTAGTGAAGGTTTCGTATCTCTAAGGTTTAAGGTTTCGAAGGAGTAGCGATAACAAGCTTTTATTGCCAAAGGGGTTATAACTCCTTGAGGGGTCAAAGTTCATACACGCAGGGTCAACTGCAAAAATCTTTTACGAAGTACATTCTTATGGACTATAAATCTTTTCGATAACTTATGAAACAAAAAATCATTCGGCGGAAAAATAATAATAATAACTAGTAGACTAATTGTTCTCGAACAATTAGAGGTCTTTCCACCTTCTTTAAATTTCATATATTTTTCATATTTTACTCTCTGAAGTTAATTTTTATACAAAAAGAATCCATAAATGGCTTGAAAGATAGAAAAAATGAAAATTAAAAAATTTTGAGATGACCTTGACCTATGACCTTGAACAAATATTCAAGGTCAAAGGTCAAGGGTCACATTGCACTTGACCCCATGCTTCTATGACTTTTACTTTTAAAGTTATAAGGTTTAATAGTAAGCGCAGAGACGTTAAAGGGGGATAACTCTTATAAGGGGTCATCGGATACTTTCGCACTGAATAGATTGAAGTTGTGTCTAAAGACTCTGAATACATTAGTGAAGTTTTCGTGTCTCTGCGGTTTACGGTTTCAGAGGAGTAGCGATAACAAGGTTTTTCAAACAAGGGGCAATACCTTTTATAGGGGTAAATCTTAGGGGACAAGTATGAAATCTTTGAAATAGTTTTAAGAGGACATATTACTGATGCAAAGATATTTAGTATATGTTGAAAGACAAAAGAGATATAAAAAGAGCTTAATTTCTCATATTTTGAATGACTTTGACCTTTGACCTTTGCATATATTTTAAGGTCAAAGGTCAATGAATTTTATGTAGTTGGTCCCATGTCTCTACGACTTATCGTTTTGAAAATTTTTAATTATTTGTAAACATCAAAAACTTTCAGGGGCAATAACTCATAAAAGGGGTTGATAAATACTTTCGCAATGAAAAGATTGAAGAGTCCCCTCAATTAGTCGAATACATTGGTGAAGGTTTCGTACCTCTACGGTTTACGGTTTCGAAGGAGT